TAGTGAGGTTACAATACATATCTTTAATTTATCACAGTCTACCTTTAAGAGATATCACACCACCTAGGGTAGAGCATAGGAGTCTTATAATATGCTTCCTTTTCTTCCTTGGCCTTTAAGCTACTGTTATCATGCATTTTACTTTTATGGATGCAATAAACCATACAGTATCTGTTAATATTTTGACTTTAAAAAACTACATTTTAAAGAGATTAAATAAGAAACAAATTCTATATATTTACCCTAGTTACCATTTCTTGCGTTTTTTGTTTTGTTTTTTTTTTTTTAATTCAACTGGCATCATTTTCCTGCTGTCTGAAGGACTTTAAAATTTTCCTGAAGTGTGGGGGGTGGGGGGAGAAGCATTGAATTTCTTCAGCTTTTCTGAAGCAGCATCTTGAATATGATGAATTTTTTCACATTGGTTTCTGAAACATATTTTTGCCAGATATAGAATTCTAGGGAGATTATTTTTTCATCTTTCAGTACCTTAAAGATGCTATTCCACTGTTTTCTTGCTTATATTATTTCTGACAAGAAATCTAATGTCATCTTTATCTTTGCTCCTATGCACACAACTTGATCTTGTCTTTTTTTTTTTCTGACTGCTTTTAAGATTTTCTCTTTATTACTTGTATTTGGTAATTTGATTGTGATGAGCTTTGGTGTAGTTTCCTTTATATTGCTTATACTTGGTAGCTCATTCAATTTTTTAGAGTTTCATCTTAAAACTTATTTGGAAAGTTTTGGTTTATGGTTTCATCTTAACGAAACATATTTGGCAAGTTTTTGGCCACTATTTCTGGAAATACATCTTTATGTAAACGGCCTCCTTTAGGAACTCTACTTATATATTTGATTGTTTGAAGGTATCCTACAACAAATTGATGTTTTCTCCCTCTTTCTTCTCTGTATGTTTCTATTGGATGGTTTCTATTGCTATGCCTTCAAGTTCATTAATCTTTTTCCTGCAATGTCCTATCTGCCATTTATCTCATCTAGTGTATTCTTCGTCTCAGATGTAGTTTTCATCTTTAAAACTTCTACATGGATCTCTTTGCATCTTACATGTTTCTCACTTTCTGAACATATGGAATATAATTACAACAAATACTTTTAACATCCTCTGCTAATTCTATCATCTGTGTCAATTCTGTGTCCCTATGGTTATTTTCATGATGGGTTGTTTTTTGGGTCCTGTGCATAGATGGGAATCTTTAACTGAATGACATGCACTATGAATTTCAACTTGTTGTATGCTGGTATTTCCCACTCCTACAAATCTTCCTGAACTTTGTCCTGGGATGCAGTTAAGTGACTTGGAAATATTTTGTTCTCTTGCTTTTATAATTTGTGACTCAGTTCCACAGCAACAACATCTCCTCAACCAGGGGAATGTGCCAAACTCCACAACTCAGTTCTTACTGCCTGTGCCATAACCTGGTGAGTCTCTCAATGCAGCAGAGGCAATTGCAGGGCTCACTTCACTTGTTTCTCACCACTCAGGGATCACTGACCATCACTGCCTCACATGCATTGTCTTCAGAACTACTGTTTGGTGTACTTTGTTTGTGGAGCAGGGGATTGTTTCGTGATGAGTATAAATATAGGCCCTCTTACTACATATGAGCCAGATGCAGACCATCCTTGTACTTTTAGTCTATTTTTACCTTTATACTCCAAATAAGTTTCCTGACATCATATACTTGAGTATTACTTTTTTAGCCAATCTGAGTATCTTTACTTTTTAACTAGGTTATTTATATCATTTATATTTAATTTAATTATCAAAAAAGTAAGATTTAAATTTACTGTTTTACTGTTTTTGTCCCATCTCTTGTTTATTCCATTCTTCATCTTTGCCTACCTTCTTGTGGACCGATTAGTTTTTAATATTCAATTTCATCTCCCCCATGGGCTTATAAGTTATTTTTCTTTATTTTTTATTAGCAAGTGCTCTTAAGTATACAAAGCCTACACTCAAATACTATACCACTTTGTGTACAGTACAGGCACCTAACAATACTATACTGACTTTCCCCCGTACCATTCTTTATGATACTGACATCAGTCAATCTATTTCCATGTATGCTATAAGCCACCAACTCACTGTTATCTTTGCTTTAAATAATCAACTATCTTTTGAAAAGTTTAAAAAGGAAGAAAATATCTTTTATATTTACCCCATATTTTACCATTTCTTGCACTCTTCATTCCTCTTCACAGATCCAAATTTCCACCTGTTAATATTTTCCTTTTGCCTAAGTAACTTCCTTTAGGATTTCTTGCAGTGCAAGTCTGCTGAAAATAAATTCTCTGACTTTGCTTCTCAAGAGTTGTTTCCAGGGGCGCCTGGGTGGCTCAGTCAGTTACACATCTGCCTTCAGCTCAGGTCATGATCCCAGGGTTCTGGGATCAAGTCCTGCACTGGGCTCCTTGCTCAGCAGGGAGCCTGCTTCTCCTTCTGCCTGCCACTCCCCCTCCCTCTCTCTCTCAAATGAATGGATAAAGTCTTTAAAAAAAAAAATGTTGTTTCCAGGGATGCCTGGGTGGCTCAGTCAGTTAAGCATCTGCCTCCGGCTCATGTCATGATCCCAGGGTCCTGGGATTGAGTCCTGCATCGGGCTCCTTGCTCAGCAGGGAGCCTGCTTCTCCCACTGCCTGCCGCTCCCCCTGCTTGTGTGCACACTCTCTTTTCTCTTTCTCTCTCTCACAAATAAAATCTTTAAAAAAAAAGTTGTTTCCATTGCAAATCATATACCTGGATAAGGGACTGATATCCAGAATATATAAAGAACTCTTACATCTCAACAACATCAAAAAAATAAATCCCAATTAAAGAATGAGCAAGGAACTTTGAATAGACATTTCCTCAAAGATGATACACAAACAGCCAACAGGCATATGAAAAGATACTAAATATCACTAATCATCAGAAAAATGCAAATCAAAACTACAATGAAATACCACTTCACACCCATTAGAATGACCATTAACCAAAAAAGAAAAGAAAAGGATGGAAGGAAGGAGAAGAAAAAAGAAGTATTGGTAAGGATGTGGTTCCATATAAATTTCAGAATTATTTGGTCTAGCTTTGTCAAAAGGCCATTTGAATTTTGATAGGGATTGCACTGAATCAGCAGATTGCTTTGGGTGATACGGACATTTTAATATCAATTCTTCCAATCCATGAGTATGGTATTTATTTACATTTGTGTGCTCTTCGATTTCTTTCATGATGTCTTAGTTTTCATTGTATAGGTCTTAAACCTCCTTGGTTAAATTTATTCCTAGGTACTTTATTCTTTTTGATACAATTATAAATGAGATTGTTTTCTTAATTATTCTTGCTAATAACTCATTATAAAAACTCCATTTTGTATTCCATTAATTTACTGAATTCATTTATTAGTTGTAACAGGTTTTGGTGAAGTCTTTTAGGTTTTCTATAGCATCATGTCATCTTTAAGTGGTGGCAGTTTTACTTCTTCCTTTCCAATCTGGATGCCTTTTATTTCTTTTTCCTACCAATTGCTGTGGCTAGGATCTCCAACACTATATTGAATAAAAGTGGTAAGAGTGGGCATCCTTGTCTTGTTCCTGATCTTAAAGGGAAAGCTTTCAGCTGCTTACCACTGAGTATGATGTGAACTGTGGGTTTACTACACATGGCCTTTGTTATGTTGAGGTACACTCCCTCTGTACCCACTTCATTTAGAGTTTTTATCAAAAATGTATGTTGAGGAGCACCTGGGTGGCTCAGTCATTAAGCGTCTGCCTTTGGCTCATGTCATGATCCCAGGGTCCTGAGATCGAGCCCCACATCGGGCTCCCTGCTCCATGGAGAGCCTGCTTCTTCCTTTCCCACTCCCCCTGCTTGTGTTCCCTCTCTCGCTGTGTCTCTTTCTGTCAAATAAATAAAATAAAATCTTAAAAAAAAAACAAAAACAAACAAGAAATCTTACCTTTAAAAAAAATGTATGTTGAAATTTGTCACATGCTTTTTCTGCATCTATAAAGATGATCATACAATTCTTTCCTTCATTTTGTTAATGTGGTGTATCATGTTGGTTGATTTGTGGATGTTGAACCATCCTTGCATCCCTCAAATAAATCCCACCTGATCATGGTTTATTATCCTTTTAATGTATTATTGAATTCAGTTTGCTAATATTTTGTTAAGAATTTTTGCATTGGGCGCCTGGGTGGCTCAGTTGGTTAAGCGACTGCCTTCGGCTCAGGTCGTGATCCTGGAGTCCCAGGATCGAGTCCCACATCGGGCTCCCCGCTCAGTGGGGAGTCTGCTTCTCCCTCTGACCCTCTTCCCCTCTCATGCTCTCTCTCTCTCTCAAATAAATAAAATCTTTAAAAAAAAAAAAAAAAGAATTTTTGCATCAATATTCATTAATGATACTGGCCTGTAATTTTTAAGAAATTTTTATGTGGTGTCCTTGTCTGGTTTGCTATCAGGGTAATGCCAGCCTCATAAAATGAGTTTGGAGGTACTACCTCCTCAATTTTTTGGAAGAGTTTGAGAAAGATAGGTATTGAATCTTTTTGAATGTTTGGTAGAAATCACCAGTGAAACCATCTGGTCTTAGACTTTTGCTTGTTGGGATGTTTCTGATTACTGATCAATCTCCTTAATAGTAATTGGTTCATTCAGATTTTCTATTTCCTCATGATTCAGTCCTAGAAGATTGTATGTTCCTAGGAATTTATCCATTTCCTCTAGGTTGTACAATTTGTTAGCATATATTTCTTGGTGGTCTCTTATGATCCTCTGTACTGTGCTGTCAGTTGTAATTTCTCTTTCAATTTATGATTTTGATTACTAGAACCTTCTCTTTTTTCTCGGCTAGTCTAACTAAAAGTCTGTCAACTTTATCTTTTCAAAGAACCAGCTCTTAGCTTTATTAATTTTTTCTATTGTTTCTCAGTCTCTAGTTCAATTATTTCTGCTCTGATCTCTATTATTTTTCTTCTACTAACTTTGTCATTTATTCTTTTTTTTTTTTTTTCCCTAGCTCCTTCAGGTGTAAAGTTAGACTGCTGGAGATTTTTCTTGTTTCTTGACGTAGTCCTGTACTACTATAATATTCTCTCTTAGAATTGCTCTTGCTATATCCCAAAGATTTTGGTATATCAGAGTTCTATTTTCATTTGTCTCTCTGTATTTATTTCTTTGTTATCTTCAGTGACAAAAATGTTGAGTAGCATGTCATTTAACCTCCCCATTTTAGTGGTTTTTCAAGTTTTCTTCTTGTAATTGATTTCTAGTTTCATACCATTGTGATCAGAAGAAAATGCTCAAAAGAGTTTCAATCTTTTTTAATTTATTGAGGCTTAATTGGTGGCCTAACGTGATCGAGCCTAGAGAATATACGATGTTCACTTGAGAATGTGTATTGTTCCTTTTTTTAATACTGTTTTTTTAATGTTTTATTTATTTATTCACGAGAGTCAGAGAGAGAGAGAGAGAGGCAGAGGCAGAGGGAGAAGCAGGCTTCCCGCCTAGCAGGGAGCCCAATGCGGGACTCAATCCCAGGACCCTGGGATCATGACCTAAACAGACGCTTAACCATCTGAGCCACCCAGGCACCCGTGTATTGTTGCTTTTGAATGGAATGTTCTGAATATATTAAGTCCATCTGGTGTCATTTAAGCTGATGTTTCCTTATTAATTTCCTGTTTGGATGATCTATTTGTTGATGTAAGTGAGGTGTTAAAGTCCCCTACTATTACTGTATTGCCATCAATTCCTCCCTTTCGGTCTGTTAATATTTGTTTTATATGTCTTGATGTTCCTATGTTGGATGCATATATATTTATTAATGTCATGTCTTGTTGGATTGACTCCTTTATCATTATGTAATGCCCTTCCTTGTCTATTATTACAATTTTTATTTTAAAGTCTATTTTGTTTGCTGTGAGTATAGCTATAGTATTTTCTTTTCTTTTTTTAATAAGCTCTACACCCAACACGGGGCTTCAACTCATGACCCTGAGATCAAGAGTGTCATGCTCCACCAACTGAGCCAGCCAGGCACCCCTCCAGCTTTCTTTTCATGCCTGTTTGCATAGAATAGTTTTCTCCATCCCTTCATTTTTAGTCTGTGTACGTCCTTACTTCTGAAGTGAGTTTCTTGTCAGCAGCATATAGATAGGTATTGCTTTTTTTTTAATCCATTCAGCCACTGTGTCTTTTGATTGGAGAGTTTAGTCTTTTTACAGTACTGTAGTTATTTATAGGTCCGTACTTATTTCCATTTTGTTCATTGTTTTCTGGCTGTTTTCATAGTTCCTCTGTTCCTTTCTTCTTTCTCTTCCCTTGTGGTTTGATGGCTTTCTTTAGTGTTATGTTCAGATTCCTTTCTCATTTTCTTTTGTGTATTTGTTGTAAATTTTTGCTTTGCGGTTACCATGAGATTCATATAGAACTTACTATGCATAGAATGGGCTGCTTTGAGTTGATAGCAATTAAATTTGAACATATTCCAAACATATTTTCTTCACCCCCGCCCATGTTTTATATTTTTGATGTCACATTGACATCATTTTATGCAGCCCTTAACTATCACAGTTTTAGTCAACTTCATTATTTTTCTCTTTTCTTAAGCTTCATATTTGCTTTATAAGTGATTGATCCTCTACTTTTTTATTTTTTTTATTTTGGGGGGCAGGGAGGAGCAGACAGAGAGGGAGAGAGAGAATCTCAAGCAGGCTCTACACTCAGTGCAGAGCCTGATGTGGGGCTCAATCTCACAACCCTGAGATCATGACCTGAGCTGAAATCAAGAGCTGGACGCTTAAATGACTGGGCCATGCAGGCACCTCTGATCCACTATTTTTAATATATATTTACCTTTTCCAGTGAGATTTTTACTTTCATACATTTTGTTATTAACACCATTTCTTTTCAGTTTAGATAAGTCCCTTTAAACATTTCTTATAAGGCTGGTTTAATGGTGATGAATTCCTTTAGCTTTTGACTATCTGAAAAATTCTTAATCTCTCCTTCAATTCTGAATGATAGCCTTGTCAAGTAGAGAATTCTTGGTTGGAAGTTTTTTTTCCATTCAGCACTTTGAATATGTCATGCCACTTGTTTCTGTCTTGCAAAGTTTCTTCTGAAAACTCTGCTGATAGCCTTATGAGACTTCCCTTTTATGTAGTAAGTTGTTTCTCTCTTCCTATGTTTAAGGTTCTCTCTTTAACTTTTACCATTTTAATTATAATGTATCTTGGTGTGTATCTCTTTGGATTCATCCTATTTGGAATTCTCTTGAGTTTCCTGGACCTGTACATCTATTTTGTTCTCCAGATTAGGAAAGTTTTCAGCCATTATTTCTTCAGATAAGTTTTCTGTCCCTTTCTCTCTCTTTTTTTTAAGATTTTATTTATTCATTTGAGACACAGAGATAGAGAGAGAGAGAGCATGAGCAGGGAGAGAGGCAGAGGGAGAAGCAGGCTCCCCACCGAGCCAGGAGCCCGATGTGGGGCTCAATTCCAGGACCCTGGGATCATGACCTGAGCTGAAGGCAGATGCTTAACCATCTGAGCCACCCAGGCACCCCTCTCTTTTTCTTTCTAGGACCCATATAAAGTGAATGTTATCCCATTTGATGTTGTCCCAAGGATCCCTTAAGTTATCTTCATTTTTTAAAATTCTTCTTTTCACTACTGTGTCTACATGAGTTCCATTGCTTTGTCATCAGCTGATCATCAGCTCAGTGATCCAATATTCAGTTCATCCAGTCTGCCTTTAAACCTGTCTAGTGTAGTTTTCAATTATTTCACTCTTCAGCTCCATAACTTGTTTAATCTTTCTTATATTGTCTCTTTATGAAGGATCGCACCGTGTTCATCTATTCTTCTCCCAAGTTCAGTGAGCATCTTTATGGCCATTAACTTTGAATTCTTTATCAGGCTGATATGCTTATCTCCATTTCATTCATGTCATTTTCTGATGTTTTATCTTGTTCTTTCATTTGGAACATATTCTCTGTCTCATTTTGCCTGGCTCTTGTTTGTTTCTATGGATCAGGCAAATCAACTACCTCTCCTAGTCTTGAAGGAGCAGCCTTGTGTAGGAGATGTCACATGCACCTCAAAAGCAAAATCCTCTCTGACCACCAGAGCTAGATCCCCTATGTGGACTGTATGCACTGTCTACTGTGGTGGCACCATGTCTGCAGCATAGGGTGAGTGAAGCTGACACCTGGCTCAGCTGCAGCATGTGGCTGTGTGGAGCTTCCACCTGGCTGCAACATGTGATAATACCGTGGGAGTGGGCAGGGTTCTCAGCTGGATGTGCCCACTGGCTCTAGCAATTTGAGAGATAATTACAAAATGGTTCCCACCAGCACCAACATTAGCAGGATAGGATGAGGTCACAAATATGGCACCCACCAATGTCTCCATCTCCAGAGAAAGTCCCAACAGTTTCCTGCCTGACTGACAGATGCCTTAAAATTACTTAGTGAGTCTTCTTCACAAAGGCACTTTTCAAATTGGTATTTTTGTGCTGGTCCTGGGGTTGAGTGTATGTGCGAACCCTTTAAGAGTGGGTTCTCCATTCCCTAGTTTTATGGTTTCTCTGGGTATAATCCCAGGTGGTTGTAAAAGCCTGTGGCTTGTTTCTCTTATACAGGACCTAAGGATTGGGATGCCTGTTGTGAAGCACTAACCTCCTGCTCCTCAGGAAAGTTTTGTATTTCTGAGTTCCCTCCTGATTGTGTATCACACCTGGGATGGGTGTTTTTACAAGATGATGTCTCTCTGCCTCTTCTTCCCATCTCAGTGCTGTCTTTTTTGTCCTTTGTTGTAGAGGTTCTGTTCATCCGGTCTTGTGGTCTTTTTCAGAGGAAATTATTTCATATGTAGTTGTTTATTTGTTATGGGAGGAGCAAGCTCAGGATCTTCCTACATCACCATCTTGAACTCAACTTTTTTTTTTTTGAGGTGAAATTGACATAACATCAAATAAAACATTTTTAAATGAACAAATCAGTGGCATTTAGTACATTCACAGTGTTGTGCAACTAACACCTCTATCTAGTTCCAAAACATTTTTATCACCCCAAAAAGAAACTCTGTACCCATTACACAGCTGCTCCCTATTTCCCTTACCCCTAGGCCCTGGCAAACACCAATCTGAGTTCTGTTTATATAGGTTTACTTATTATAGATATTTCATATAAATGGAATCATACAATATGTGACCTTTGTGTCTGACTTATTTCACTTAGCAAAATGTTTCCAAGGTTCACCACACTATAGCATGTATCAGTACTTCAGTTTTGTTTTGTTTATCTATATATAGCTGAATAATAGTCAGTGGTATTTGTATACCAAAACTTGTTTATCCATTCATCCATCTACAGGCATTTGGGCTGCTTCCATCATTTGGCTATTGTAAATAGTATTGCTATGAACAAGTGTGTACATATATGAGTACCTGTTTTCAGTTCTTTTGGGTATACACCTAAGAGTGGAATAACTGGGTCATATGCTAATTCTATCTTTAATTTTTTAAAGAACTGCCACACTGTTTTCCACAGAAGGTTAACCATTTTACATTCCCACCAGCAATGTACAAGGATTTGTTTCTCTACATCCTTACCAACACTTGTTACTGTTTTTGTTTTTTATTCTAGCCATTCTAGTGGGCATGAAGTGGTATGTCATTGTGGTTTTCATGTGCATTTCCCTTATCATTAACAAGGTTGAGTATTTCTTCATATGCATATTAGCCAGGGTGCCTAGGTGGCTCAGTCAGTTGGGCGTATACCTTCGGCTCAGGTCATTATCTCAGTGTCCTGGGACCAAGCCCCACATCAGGCTCCCTGCTCAGCAGGGAGTCTGCTTCTCCCTCTCCCTCTACTGCTCTCCCTGCTCATACTCTCTCTTTCTAATAAATTTTTAAAAATCTAAAAGATAAAAAAATTTAAAAAAATATGCACATTGGCCATTTGTATGTCTTTCTTTAGAGAATTGTCAATTCAAGTCCTTTGCCCATTTCTTAGCTGGGTTGTTTGTAGTTTTGTTGCTGAGTTGTCAGGGTTTCAGTTCTTATATTTAGGTCACTGATCCATTTAGAGTTAATATTTTAACGTGGTGTGAGTAGGGATCCAAGTTTATTCTTTTGCATGTGGATATCTATTTGTCCCAAAACTATTTGTTAAAGAATTATTCTTTCTTGCATTGAGTGGTCGTGACCCTCTTGTCAAAGATCATTTGGAGATAGATAAATAGATATATGTTATATATAATAACATAATTTTTATACATTAGTTAATTTCTCTCAATTCTATTCCATTGGTTTATATGTCTATCCTTACAACAGTACCACACTGTTTTGACTACCGTAGCTTTATAATATATTTTGAAATGGGGAAGTATGAGTTCTCCAACTCTATTCGTTTTCAAGAACAGAATTTTGGCTATTTGGGCCCACTACAATTTCATATGAATTAAAGAATATGATTTTCCAGTTCTGCAAAAAGGTCACCAGAATTCTGATAAAGATTGCATTTAATCTGTACCTTGTTTTGCATAGCATTGCCACCTCAACAGTATTAAGTCTTCCAATCTATAAACACAGAATGTCTTTCCATTTATTTAGGTCTTTAATTTCTCTCAACAATGTTTTATAGTTTTCAGTGTACAAATCTTTCAACTCCTTATGCTTTTGGACAATATTAAATGGCACAGTTTTCTTAGTTTCCTTTTGGATTGTTCACCACTGGTATACAGAAACACAATTTTATTTTGTGTGTTGATCTTATACCGACAATTTTTCTGAACTTGTGTATTAGCTCCAGTGTGTTTTTGTGGATTCTTTGGGGTATTCTATATATGGGATCATGTTGTCTACAAATAGAAATAACTATTTCTTCCTTCCTAATATGGATTTTCTCTTTCTTGCCTAACTTCTCTGGCTATAACTCCTACCACAATGTTGAATAGCAGTATGAAAATAGGCACACTTGGGGAGCGTGGGTGGCTTAGTTGGTTAAGCATCTGCCTTCAGCTCCGGTCATGATCCCAGAGTTCCAGGATCGAGGCCCACGTTGGACTCCCTGTTCACTGCTCAGTGAGGAGTCTACTTCTCCCTCTCCCTCTGCTCCTCCCCCCACTTGTGCTCTCTCTCTCTTGCTCACTCTCTCAAATAAATATCTTTAAAAAGAAAAGAGGCACCCTTGTCTTATTCCTGATCATAAGGAAAAGTTTTCAGTCTTTCACTACTGGATGCTAGCTGTGGGTTTTCCATAAATCCCTTTATCATATTGAAGAATTTCCTTTCTCTTCCTAGTTCTAGAGTGTTTTTATTGTAATAGAAAATATAACAGGTGTTATATTTTGTCAAAAGTCTTCCATATTAACTGGTGATGTTTGTTTGTTTCCCTTCATCCTATTAATGCAGTGTGTATTACACTGATTAATCTTCCTATGTTGAACTGCTCTGGCATTCCCACCTGGACAAATTCCACTTGGTCATGGTATATAACCATTTAAATATACTGTTGGATTCAGCGTCTTAGTGTTTTGTTGAGGATTTTTGCATCTATACTCATAAGGAATATGGATCTGTAGTTTTTGTATTGTTTCTCATGGTGTCTGGCTTTGGTATCAGAGTAATGTTGGGCTCATTGAGTTAGGAAGTATTCCCTGTCCTCCTATTTTGGGGAAGAGTCTGAGAGGAATTTGTGTTAATTCTTCTTTAAATGTTTGGTAGAATTCACCGGTAATGCCACCTAGTCCTGGACTTTTGTTTTGGAGGGATTTTTTATTACTATTATTAATTCAATCTGTTTGCTTGTTACAGGTCAGTTCGTATTTTCTATTGCTTCTTGAGTCAGTTTTGGTAATCTGTGTTTCTAGGAATTTGTCCATTTCATGTAGGTTATCCAATCTGTTGATATAGAGTTGTTCATAGTATTCTCTTATAACCTTTTTTATTTCTTTTAGGTCAGCAGCAATATCTCCACTTTCATTTCTAATTTTAGTTATAGGCGTCTTTGCTTTTTCCCTTTGTCAGTCTAGATAAAGGTCTGTCAATTTTGTTGATCTTCTCAAAGAACCAACTTTTGGTTTTACTGATTCTCTATATTGTTTCCTATACTCTGTTTCACTTATCTCCACTTTAATCTTTATTATTTCCTTTCTTTGGCTTGCTTTGGGTTTAATTTGCTCTCTTTCTCTAGTTTCCATAAGGTGAAAAATTAGATTTGAGTTCTTTGGAGTTCTTCTTTTTAAATATAAGTATTTACTGCTATAAATTTCCCTCTGAGCACTGCTTTTGCTGTATCTCATTATGTTATGCTGTGTTTTCATTTTCATTTGTCTGTTATTTTCTAATTTTCCCTTTGATTTCTTCTTTGACCTCCTGGTTATTTATGAGTATGTTGTTTAATTTCTACATATTTGTGAGTTTTCCATTATTCTTATTGACTTCCAGCTTCATTCCACTGTGACTGAAGATACTTTTATGATTTCAATTTTTTAAAATGTTTTGAGATTTTGTGGTCTAATATATGGACTATCCCTTGTAGAATGTCTCATGTGCACTTGAAAAAACGTGTATTCTGCTCTTACTGGGTGTTTTGTGTATGTCTACTAAGTCTAACTGGCTTATAATGTTGTTCAAGTTCTCTACTTCCTTACGGATCTCTCTAGTTGTTATAACCCTTATTCAAGGTGAAACAAGCATTGTAATTTTTGAATGAATGATTAAAACCATAAATTTTATTGTTGGATTCTGAATTGCGTTGCATTCCTCTAATGCTGGACTTTATTCTGGTGCACAGTTAAGTTACTTGGGATCACTTGAAGCCTTCCGAAGACTCGTCCCAATGCCACATGTATTACACGGTCTTTAGACTCTGGATAGTCTAGACAAAAACTATTAACACCTTGTATGAATTCTGGAAATTGTTTTCTTATTGCTTTCCAGTAGTTCTTTCCCTGACTTTGAGTAGGTTTTGTCATGCATCTACAGATCAGAACTCAGCCAAAACCTCAAGGAACACCCTCTGCAGATCTCTAAAATGTTTTCATGCTTGGGGTTACTTTTTTACTTACCTATATACTCAGCCCTCTTCCCCCAAGTCTCTTCTCTCTGGCACTCTGACCTGCAATTCTAACCATCTTGGCCTTCCCAAACACCCATCTTTGTTTCTTAATCTCAACAAAAGTGAGCTCTGTTTTGGTTCCTCCTCCTTGCACTGCAGCCTATAAACAACCTCTAGGCTCTACTGTAAACTGGTGTTAATAGAAGGGCTTACCTCATTTGTTTCCATTCTCTCAGGGATCAGTCCGATGCCACCTGCCATCCAATGTCTAAAAATCATTGTTTACATATTTATATGTTCTCAAGTTGTTTAAGAAGGAAGGGTATATTACTGCTGCATAACAAATTACCCCCAACTTAGCATCTTAAAAAACAAGCATTTATATTTCCACACAGTTTCTGAGGTTCAGCAATCAAGAATCAGCTTAGCTGGGTGGTTCTGGCTCAGGATATCTCATGAAGTTGCAGTCAAGATGTTGATGGGCCAGTGGTTTACAGCTGGAAACCTGACAAGGGCTGGAAGATCTGCTTCCAAGAAGGCTCAGTCACACACTGTTGGCTAGAGGCCTCAGTTCCTTGTTAGCTGTTGGCAGGAGGCCTCAATTTCTCACCACATGGGCCTCTCCATAGAGCTATTCACAACATGGCAGCTAACTACTCTGAATGAGCAAGGGGTGAGCGGGGAGAGGTGAGGGCAGCACAAAGGGAGAGAGAAGAGGCAAAAGCCACAGGTCTTTTATAACCTATCCTTGGAAGTGATCCATCACTTCCACCACATTCTACTGGCCACACAAACAATGTGTGAAAGGATTACACAATGGCATAAATATCCGGAAGCAGGGATCATTAGGGCCATCTTGGAAGCTGGCCACACAGAGGAAAAATCCTGTTATGCCAACACAGCAGAAAGCCAAAGTCCTTCCTACATATTTTAACCTCCTTATGTTATTTTTTTTAATCCTCAAACTATAGACTGCATCCTACAGCTTCGAGAGAGATTGGCAGACTGTAGATTCTACTCCACAGCCAGACTTGGAGATAAAATAACTAAGAGTAAGTAGCAGCAGCTTTTAAGAGGAAAGAATAGAGTTCTTGGGGCCTATGGCAAGAAAGAGGAGAGCACTTACTGCAGACCTGGACTTGAAAAATGTCCAAGTGCTTTTCGTTCCCCCAAACAACTACTCAACTCTGATGACCAACCTAAATGTCTGCCCTCCTTTCTCTTCAATCTCCAGAACCAGACAGCAATAGCAACAGCAATATTAATAGCAGTAGCAATAGTACCAGGGCCAATGCTAAGCATTTTGCCTTTGTTATTAGTTCAATTACTCCTCACAACAAACCTGTGAGATAGGTATCATTATCCCTTAAACTCTAGGCCTTAGTTTCTTGATAATCCTACCCTAGCTTTACACTTTACAGTGTATCTTGGTACACCTTTATTCTTCCTACATAACACCTTGTTGCCTCTTGCCCTATAGTGTTCTCCTACTCTTGGGGCACTGAAATACTGTTTTGTCCTGCCTCTCCTCCCATTCCACTTGAGTCAGGCCTTAAAGAGATTTCTCTTAGCTCCCATGTTCCCAACAAAAACTCTTTCAAAGAAACCACCAGACTACAGAGACTTCCATTAATTCCCTCCTGCTGGGCTCTCCCAATACTACAGCTGCCTAATATAGACTTCCCCTTACACCCTGTAGAACACATGCCCTGTCAGTCTCTTTCATCAACTAATCCCAAAAACTTTGCCTTATTTCATTTAAAAATATTATTTCAGGGGCGCCTGGGTGGCTCAGTTGTTAAGCGTCTGCCTTCAGCTCAGGTCATGATCCCAGGGTCCTGGGATGGAGCCCCGCATCAGGCTCCCTGCTCAGCGGGAAACCTGCTTCTCCCTCTCCCGCTCCCCCTGCTTGTGTTCCCTCTCTCGCTGTGTCTCTCTTTGTCAAATAAATAAATAAAATCTTTAAAAAAATAAAATAAAAATATTATTTCACAGCACACATGCCTTCTTTAAATTTGCTACAGCTTAATGTTAAAATGGGTTTCCTTTCCCTGGGGGTTTAAATTAATCACCAAGGAGAAAGGTCCAAAATATACCAAACTCCTACTTAGTACAGTACCCTGGAAACATAGGTTCCCACTAGTTATTTGTTGAATAATGAATGAAAAATATAAAGTAATGATTATAAATACTAGCTCAAAAAATTCTCAAGGGGGTAAAATCCAAAAAATTTTATTTACAAATAAAAAGGAGAAGTTACCAGTAGACACATATAAACAATTCACAAAAAGACAAAACACAAAAGAACAACAAATAGAAGCAAATCGTAGAAAAGCAAATTAAAATATCGCTTTTTGTCAGACAGATCGGCAAACACTGAAAATTTGTCAAGAAAGTAAGAAAACAGGCATTCTAATAGATATAATTTTGTATTTTTGGTAGTTATGCATCAAATATCTTTAAAATTTGCATATTCGTTTGACCAGTGTTTCCATTTCTAATAATTACTTATAAGAAAATAATGGACAAAGGAACATAGTTATATGTAAAAAAAGAAAAAAAATCACTGTGGCACTAACTATAATACAAAATCTGTCCAACAGTAAGGGTTTGATTAAACAAATTTTAGTAATTCCAAACTATGAATTATTAAATCACTTCAGAATATTATATAATCCCAGTTTTTTAGAGTAACATATATTCACATAAAAACATACCTGCATAGAAAAAAATCTAGAAGTACACACCCCAAAATGTTAGCAGTGATATCTCTTAAAAGAATAGTAGAATTATTTGTGATTTTTTTTCTTTTTCCTTATCTCTACTACTTTATTTTTCTACATGAGTAGCACATGGACAACACACATTCTTAGAAGGCAAAAGTAAAAATGAAGAGCACAATTTAAAGGTAGAAGTGCCATTTCTATAATAGAACATGGAACATTCCCATGTTCCCTGATAATAATCATGTCAAGCAGAATTAATATCAAGTAAAACATTTCAACAGCCTTGTTTTAAGTAGTTCTAGGAACACACATGGAAGAATCTGTTAGTACTATTCAGGCATCTTAAGACAACAAACAAAAAGACCTCTCAAATAAAAATTTAGTACTAATCCAAAAGACAGTGTTGAAAAATCACATAGTAAAAACCTCAACGGCTTTAAGGTTAAGTGTCAGCTTCAATCGCCTTTTCATGCCTTTTCACATTTATCTTGAGATAAATCCCACTGTAATGGGAAAGCAGTTACCATGACAATGATAAAACATCAATCACTCATAAGTTTAAGAATTCAATGCAACTTTAAGTCTGGCTGAAGAGAAAGTCTTCTCTATAACTCCTATTCCAAAATAGATTAATTTTTCTCCTCAGACTTGAAGATCTGGGGGGATAAAACTTAGTCGGTAACAAGAGAGAATCCTGAATTGAGTCTAGAAATACATGTGTGTCACAAGCAAAGCATGTATATCTCTAAGCACTGTGTACAATTTCTAGCCAAAGCACAGGTAACGGCTTGTGACCCTGCAAAATGTTGCCTAAAATTGTTTGTAAGGCCTGATTCAACATGACTGGTAGCACAAACAGTTAAGTCTTCATTAGGACTAATCTATAATTTTCAGTGATGCTGACTGGCATAAAATCAATGTTCTTTCCACCTGTCTATGGTAGAATATGAAACAAATTATTCTGACTGTATCTGTGTAATTAACAGCAGGTATCCATACATTTAGCATCAACGCAAACCTACAACATAGTTTGCAAGTCATGTCTCATAAAGCTCCATCAATGAATCCACTGGGATTTGGCAGCAACTATGAAAGTACAAAAAGCACTAAGCATAGTACAGCTGTAAGATTCCTTTAAATCTACATTAGTAACATCTTTGATGAAAGCAATATTGCACAAGAAAATTTTCTAGTACAAGGAGAGAATCAAAGAACAACTTTGCATAAGAGAGAGATTTTATGTTAACGGCATCTGTGCAAAGCAAGCATATAATACCTAAACTAACAACACAATTATGTGATTATTGTTGAAAGGAATGGAGATCTCCTTGCTTTAGTGACAACCCTAGCACCATCCATCCACTTATTCAGTAAATGTATGAAAAACCATATACAACCAGAACTATTCTAGGACCTGGGGAGATTAAAGAATAAACAAGCAAAGTCGCTACCTTCATGGAGCACATGGTCTAATAAGAACAGAGATGTTAAGCAAACAATTACATATTTGAATATAACTGCAAATGTCAGAATGTCATTAAGGGCAGGTACTATGAGAGCAAATAGTAGGACTGGGAGCCAAGTGAGCCAACCACAAGGGAGAAAGAGAAGCCCAGGTAGAGGTAATCTATGCAAAGCTCCTGCAGCTGGAATGACCTTGCCCAATCCAGGAACTGAAACATTTAGATTGGAAGCATTTAGATTGTTTGCTGGGCCCATGTTAATTCTGAGATGTATAAAGACACCCAAGTTAAGAGATCAGGTTGGTAACTGCTACATGAGTCTAGAGCGCAGGGAAGAGATCTAGACCAAGTATGAACTTAAAAACCATTGGTTTAGAGATGGTGTATGATGCACAGGCACTAGAGGGTATTACTTAGGCAAGGTGTACTGAACAGGGTAGGGCCAGGCGTGTATTACTTCCTCAAATAGCGCACACACAAGAGTCATTACTTCTTGCCATCAAATTACTTCTCTGTCCATTTACAAAATCTGAAGTAAAACAAAGTATTTTCTAATATTATAATACAAAGCCCTATTTGTTCAGAAAGGATAAGATTAAATGTATAAAGTTCTGGGAGAAATGTCAAGACCCAAGGAAAATATTTTTTTCAGTGAGTCTAAGACATTGTATGCTAACGTTTATTTAGCAAGGCACCTCCTTCTAACCTTTTCCAGTGCCCTAGAAAAGGAACTTTTTTTAACATACTGATATAACGGCTTCACAAGATTTGTCACTAGAAGTGCTTTCATTCTGCAAAACTGCCACCTACTGAAGCTAGATCACAATTGTAAACATGCTGAATACACCAAGTCCTGGAGGGATGTAACATCAAAAAGACCAGACACACTCGAAAGTTAACAACTTTCAGAACTCTCACTATAATCCTTAAACAACCTGCCCTGCACAGTCTCCTATGATGAATACATAACAGGTAATTGCTCTGTAAAGCAGTGGTCAGGGTTATGGTTATAGAAAAGCTGGGTTAAAATGTTCCACAATGTATGGCCCAAGCACCATATTAAGTAGGACATGCCTTAACACAAACTCACCTGATTTATTTGAAGCATGTTAAAACAATATTGACCAAACTGCTGTATCCCTCACGGCTCCAAAAACTGGAAAATGAAAATGAAGAAATAAAGTTCAACTTAGTTGGTGATCTCAATGATTAGCACTTTAAACACATGTCCTTGATCAAATCAAAATCAAATATAAAATGGAGTAGATCTAGATCAACACAGAACTTTCTATGATGATAAACATGTTTTATATCTGCACTCTCTAATCCAGGAGCCACTAGCCACAAACGGCTACTGAGCACCTGAAATGTGGCTAATGCAACCAAGAAAGTAAATCTTTAAGTTTTTTTAAATTTTCTTTAATGTTAATTTAAATTTAAATAGCCCTATGTGACTAGTGGCTACCATAGGGGACAGTGCAGATCTAGGCTGAAAAATGTCCCGTCTGGTTCTACAACTCTAAGACAATTCTAGCAAAAGTGAAGCTATTAAAAATAATCTAAAGATTTCAGATTAATATTTAATACACGGTCCCCTTTCTCTATAAGGTTGTAAACAGCTTTGTTTCCAAACTCTGTAAGCTAAATTAAGCCTAAAGAAGATGAGACACACACTCCTCTAGGTGATATGGAAGAGTACACACATTACCTAAATGGATTTTTTGTCTGTTTGTGCTTTTGTTTATCATCACTATAAAAACAGCACGCACAAAAAATTTCACATAAAATTTTCAGAAAAAGAAATCACCGTCCTGACACCTCCCACTGTTATATTTGGATTTGTTTCCTCCTGGATCAGACCTCCTCGCCATGGTTGTGTTTCTTTCCATGTGGCAAATCTCTTCTACATTTAATTTAAAAATAGATACCAAAGAAGGGCAGAAAACCCAAATCTATAAACAAACAAAGAAATCATGGATTCTTATAATGGTAAAAGTTTACATAAAAAATAAATTATGGCAGGGGCTCAGTCAGTTAAGTGTCTGCCTTTGGCTCAGGTCATGATCTCAGGGTCCTGGGATCGAGTCAGAGTCTCTGCTCAGTGGTGAGTCTGCTTCTCCCTCTCCTGCTGCCCCTCCCCCTGCTCATGCTCTCTCTCTCTTGCTCTCTATATCCCAAATAAAGGAATAAAATCTTTTAAAAAGTAAGTAAATAAATAAATAAAATAAATAATTTATGGGGCGCCTCGCCGGCTCAGTCTGTAGAGCATGCAACTCTTGATCTAGGGGTTGTGAGCTCAAGCCCCATACTGGGTGTAGAGCCTACTAAAAAAAAAAATAAGATAAAGAAAAATAAATTATGTACAGATCACCCCCCCCAATTATCTAAAAAGCAACAACACAGTCTTGATAGGCAGTAAAGGAGCTAAATCCAGCCACTTGGGTAGAAACTTTTATGCTATGGAACTTTAATATTAAGCTTTCTCTCAGAAGCAGAGGTTCTTAATACACACACACACACAGATTCACATATATACATATATGGCTACCATTTTCTCAAGATGACAAACTGGGGTCAATTCAAAATGAATTTGAAAGTTTTCTATATATACATACATACATATATATATCTATATTTTTATATATATATGTAATAACAGTGGCCTCAGCACCTCTAACAATTTTATATTTTCCGAAAGAATCATATGCTGTAGAAATGGCACAAGGCCTGAGGATCACTTAATTTGTATCTTAGTCCAAGCTCTTCAGGAGATTACCTTTTGAGCCTTGGTAAATTACTTTATGTGTCTTTGAGTTTTCTTTCTTTCTTTTTTTTAAATCTGTAAAAAGTAAACTAAGGTCATTGTGGGAGGCAGCCTCTAACAAACAGAATACAACAGAAATAATGAGATACCACTCACAATATTGGGTTACAAAAAGATCACAACTTCCATCTTGGGTGTTACCTCCTCTCGTTCTCTCACCTGTTTGCTCTGAAGGAAACTAGCTGCCATATTGTGAGCTCCCCTTTGGACAGGCCCAGCTGGCAAAGAACTGAGAGAGGCCTTTGGCCAATAGCCCAAAAGAAAGTGAGGCCTTCAGACCAATACCCACCAAGCAAATGAATCCTGCCAAGAACTGTATGAATGAGCTTGGAAGCAGATCTTCCCCTAGTCAAACTCTCAGATGAGAACACAGTCCCAGTGAGAGCTTACCTGCAAACTCTAAAAGACCCGAGCCACAAGCACCAGGTAAGCTGCACCCAGATTTCTAACCCACAGAAACTGAGATAATAAATGTTTGTTTTAAGCCCTTACTTTCCAGGGTAGTTTGTTACACAACAATAAATAAGACAATCCCATTCAACTCTAAAATTCTATAATCCTATGGTGCTTTAACTATTAATTAACATATCCAGGTGGGTCAAAAAAAAATCAATTCCCTGTTTAACATGATCAAATGAGTTAAATTAGAGCTTGAAAATGATAAATTATGAAACTTAAACATTTACATTTTATTCAAAAGATGAAATCACTAAAAAGTGTAGGAATAGTCAAATGGTACTAAAATACACTAGCTATAACTAAAAATACAAACCCAACCAATATTCATTTTTTTAACTGAAAAAATTTCATTTGGAAGTTAAAATGTGAATAAACCACTAAAAGCATCTCAGTGACTTAGTGTCCCCTACTTTCTAGAATTTAACATTATTTAGTAAGCACTCACCAAATCGGAGAAATCCTACTTTGTATTATTTAATGTAAGCCTCTAAAAGTAACAAATGCTCATCTATAGACCTGTATGTGTTTCTTCACCATTAGAGTTTTCTGGGTTTAATTCCAATGTAAGTAACATACAGTGTTATACTAGTTTCAGGTGTACAATATAGTGGTTCAACAATTCTATATATTACTCAGTGCTCATGGTAAGTGTTCTCTTAATCCTCTTCACCTATTTCACCCATCCCCCCACTTGTTTTCTACAGTTAAGAGTCTAGTTTTTGGTTCGTCTCTTTTTTTTCTTCCTTTCTTCATTTGTTCTGTTTCTTAAATTCCACACATGAGTGATCATACAGCATTTGTCTTTCTCTGACTGGCATATTTCATTTAGCACTGTATTCTCTAGATCCATCCATGTTGTTGCAAATAGCAAGATTTCATTCATGGCTGAATAATATTCCAGAGTGTGTGTGTGTGTGTGTATACGCAACATCTTCTTTATCCATTCATCTGTCAATGGACCCTTAGGTTGCTTCCATAATTTGACCATTATAAATAACACTGCAATAAATATACAGGTGCTCTTCAACATCAGAGTTTGTAACACTAGTGGCTGATTCCAAGAAGTAGGCACAATAAGATATAAGGGTACATTTTTTAAAGTTCTAATCTTCTAATATGCAAAAGGTAATTGTAAGAAGAAATAAAAATAAAAGCATCTATTTGCTTAAAGCTGACCATATAATTTTAAGAATTCTGTAAGCCCCTCTTTCACAATTATAAAGATCTGTATAAATTAAAACATGGAACTGTGTCTATAAGAGCACTCTGTGAGGTAACTGGAAAATGTTCTGAAGTTACTCCTTTTTTACCAACAAATTTTATTACATTTAGTTCAATATAAAAATTATAATTCACAACCACATTATGGACAATTCAGAATGCCCAGTGACATGTCTTTAACACTTTCTCCCTTACAGACATGCCTGTTCTACTGTCCTACATTTAAAACAACTTGATAAAATAGCAATAAAATGCAGAGCAGTTTTATACTGCCTATGATATCATAAAATCCACCTCTCCTTCCTCTGTCAAAAAAGTTTCCAGCTACAGTTCATTCCAATTACAACTAAGTACTTTTAGAGAAACCTATTCACATGTCCCAAAAATGCCCTACAGTGATATCCAGTCAGGCACATTAGGACATACAGTTCCAGATTCCAAGCTACTAAATGAAAACAGGCAGGGCAGTTTACGGAGAGAGGGCACTACCAACTGTAGAAGACTTGCTGCTCATGAAGAATTGGAAGTCCAACGTGTATCTGAAATGTACTGCTGATATAACTTGCTGCATTTATTATTACATTTTGCCCAGCTGGTAAGTTGAAAGCTGTACAAAATTCAATCTATAAAATCTTCAACAATACTGCTTCATAAAATGGCATTATTAAATTATCTATAAATTTTAATATCAGCACCCATCCCACAATTGACAGGTAATCCTCACTTAAATGTCTTGTTTGACAATATGAAAATCAAAAACATTTACTACCACCATTCTTAGGCTCAAAAATACCATAAAACTAAGTATCAGCTCAAAACTTCTTACTCTAAAAAATTCATGGGGTCCTTAAAAAGCATTAAAAAGTGGATTTTCTAAATTCTCATTTCTTTTTAAAAGTACATACCCCAAAACATTTTTACCTAAGAAAAGCAAAATAATTTAGTATAAATTTTAATATCTCCTAAGAGCCTATGAAAGATTCTAAGTATATAAAAATCTCACCACCAACCAAGAAAAAAAAAAACTTAACATTGATCAGACACTAATGTTATAGACCACATGCTATATTTTGCCATTTTTACAGTAACTCATTTAATCCTAATCACCTTGGGATGTAGGTGTTATCTCCACTTTTCTAGAAGCTGTATTACATCCCCACAGTCCACTGCTACGATTAAAACCTAGTATGGTCTGGTTTGAAGTCCTCATCTCTTTATTATGCATTAAATTTATAAAGATTTCACTTCTTAAAATTTTTCCTGTCACAAAGGTCTTGACCTTTGTGACAGGCTCTTACATAGAACTTTGGCTCCTATATAGAACTTAAGGCTCCTATATAGAACTTTGCAGATTTATTTAAAATCAAATGATTATACATAAATATAAATTATAACTATTATGGATTTTAGACACTCACTTAATATTTTCTTGACTACCTATAAGAGGCACAAGTATATCTACACATAATTTGATCATACTGTGCATGTCTCCAACTATTCTAATTAATATTAACACAATTCAATTTTGCAATATGTAGGTTTTTCTCTCTTTATGATGATCTGTATACACGAATGATGACACCCAGAACTCAGAGTGAATAAAAGGAGAGCATAATAGTGAAGAGGTTAGCTACAAAGAAAAAACCCCAACG